AGGGATCCCACCCAGAGGGACCCTGATGGGCACGAGAGCTGGGCCTGTGGGAACATCATCAAGTTCAACAAGGCCAAGCTCAAAGTCCTGCACTTGGGTCCAGACAAGCCCAAGTAGAGGCTGGTGGAGAATGGAGTGAGAGCAGCCCTGGAGAAGGAGTGGGGGTGTTGGTGCATGAGAAGGTGACATGACCCAGCCATGTGCTCCTGCAGCCCAGAATCCAGCTTGTCCTGGGCTGCAGCACAAGGAACACGGGCAGCAGGGCCAGGGGGGGATTGTCCCCATCTACCCTGCCCTTGTGAGACCTCACCTGGAGTGCTGTGTCCAGCTTTGCTCCCTCAGCATAAGAAAAACATGGACCTGTCAGAACAAGTCCAGAGGAGGCCATGAAGATGCTCAAAGGGCTGGAGCCCCTTTGCTATGAGAAATTTGGGCTGTTGGAAAAAAGAAGGCTCCAGGGAGACCTTAGAGCCCCTTCCAGTACCTAAAGGGGCTCCAAGAGATCTGGAGAGGGACTTTGGACAAAAGCCTGGTGTGAAAGAACAAGGGGAAATGACTTCAAACCAAAAGAGGGCAAGGTTAGGTTAGATATTAGGAAGGAATTCTTGGCTGTGAGGGTGGGGAGGCCCTGGCACAGGTTGCCCAGAGAAGCTGTGGCTGCCCCTGGATCCCTGGAAGTGTCCAAGACCAGGTTGGACGGGCTTGGAGCAACCTGGGCTAGTGGAGGGTGTCCCTGCCCATGGCAGGGGATGGAACGAGATGACCTTCCAGCCTAAACCATTCTATGAATCTATAATTTTATGAATGCTTCTAAGGTGAGTCCTACTCTTGCTGTTCTTTAGCATTTATTTTATTAACCCTCTGCTAATCCAGTTTGGGCTGGTAAGACAGAAACGGATAAGTGGCTCCTTAGACCACATATTGTTTCATCTAAGCCTTTGTTTTTTCTTCAGGCTGATAATACCTTCTGTTGTTATTTAAGCAAGTATTATTTAGGACAGAAACTTCGCAGTGTGCTTGTGTTTATTTTTGAATTTCCCTTTCATGTAGGTGTCTGCTATCTCTGACAGTAAAACCTCAGTACCAGCCCTCAGCCACAGTGTATCTTCCATTCCTTACTCAGCTGCACTACTTTTTGCTGGTTTGTTTTTCCTCCACACTAGAAAGACTTGGTTTTGAAGCAGAGACCTTCTAGTCCTGTTACATTTCCCACCTGCTGACTCACACAGCACATGGAGCTGTTCAGGAAACAATTGCTCAGTAAGAGTGTTCTTTCTGTTCTTTCTGTTCCAGCATCCTGATCGTGATTTCACTACCTGTGTTTCCTAACCAGCTTTGTGCTACTCCAGCTTTTTTGCTGACTGATTCTCTAAGCATTAGAATGGTTCTGGAATGGTTCTCTGACCATAACTGTAAACCCACTGTGTTGGTGCTGTTTTGGAGCAGTTGAATTGTTACTGGCATACAGTGGTACCAGTGACTTGCCATCTGATGTGATTGTATGTACTGAAATAACATTGGTATGCCTCTGAAATACCTTTTAAAATACAACAATATGTCATAAACAAAGAGGTTGGCAGTCAGTGAACAGCAGGGTGCATCAGATAAGTAACAGTGGAAAAAAGCCAGTGGACAACCTGAAAAACAGTCTGGTGTTGGTTTTGTTCATCATATTCCAACAAAAAGTTTTACTTAATTTAATTGATGAAACTATGCAAGATAGTTACTTGTGCTTCAGCCTTGCAGTGGAGGGCACATGTCAGGTGTAACCTCTGGGGGGATAGGAAAGGTTGACCCTTTCTGCTGGGGGTCCATGCAGGAAATGGCAGAGAAAATGAGAGATGTGACAGAGAGGGGAGCTGGGTGAGGAGCAGGGTCTGGAGACCTCAGAGAAGAACATGGAGGAGATACACAAACAGGACTTAGGAGAAGACTTCCTCTGTTATCTGGGGACTCAGAGGGACTGTGTGCACCCTGCTGAAACCAGAGGGCTGATGAAACCTGTTGGGCAGCAAGGCTGGGAGGAGGAACCTTCCCCAGAAGGCTTTAGATATGTTTGACTTCCATGTTATATGAATTTATTTTTGTCATTTCTAACCCAGCATAACTCAGGGTTTTTTTCTTCTGTCAGAACTTAGTTTGTAATGTAATAAGATACAGCTTTAGAAATCCAGAAGTTCTGGTATGCAAAGTTTAAAGGAGGAGAGGTAGGCAGAGTTAGCTCTATTAATCTCCACAGTCACAAGCCTTGCTAGTTTTTCAGTAACTTCCAGCTGAAACCTTCTCACCTGCCCTGTCACACTGATGGAAATCCTTGCTCAGATCATCTGCTCTGGACATCTCTGGATTTAAGGCTTTTTGCATGCAGAGTGCAAGATGTATCCATAGTTATTGTCCTGTTTTCAAGCTTTGTTGCCATTTTTATTTGTGAAAACATAAAGTAAAATGAGAGACACAAAGGGGGCTTCCATGTTTCCAGTACAGAGAGTAGCTGAAAACACTTCTGCTGGTCAGTTAGGGTGCCTGGCATTCAAAACCACTATTTCGTGGAGGTGAAACGGTGCTTAATATGTTCTCTAATTTGGTTGAATGTTTTTCTTGCATTTCAATACTTGGAGGCTCCAGCAAATTTGGGGAAAGTGAGTCCAACGATCATTTCCTGTGTTGGTTCTGTGAAGTTTAAGGTTTTGGTGCTGAATTGGTGCTTTTGTTCAGGAGATGGGGATAACTCTAGAGAGATGGAGAGATTTGAAAATAAAATATTTCTATTTAAGATACGTTTAGATGCAGACATTTTAATTTATGTATGGTTTCAAGTCTGTTTCAGAAGTTCAGTTGCTACAGTGTACCATGGAGTGTAAGTCAAGAGTCACTGTGCAATTTAGTTTTAAATGCAACACACTGTGAGCTTGGTTTCTGAAGGCTGAATGTAATTTTGATGATAGAGGTTTTATATAAGATGATTGCATTTGGCTTAAAACTGAGGGCAGCAGGGTTTCTGTTAGTCTGCTGATTTTCTGCTTTCCTGTTCCATACATCAAAGCCCTGTCACACAGCTTCACTTACAGCACAGGCACAGGGATTTTATTTAGCTTCAGAATTTAAACGTGAAAAAATCTTGAGCAAGAGACCTGTAGGGAATGCCCTGACACGGGAGAAATGCTGGTTGTGTTGCATTGGTGTAGGTCTGTCATTCAAGCATCTCTACTGAATAAATCCAGGCTGCTGCTGGGGGTCACATAGCCCTGGACTTGTGGCATTGCCAATACTCAGATAATACTGTTTTGTTTAAAGCTACATTTCCTAGAATTGTATTTATTGTCACTTTCACTTTTTTAAGAAAAATTTTACTTCATTGTTCTCATGATTAAGAAGAATTCAAAGATGTGTTTTAAGTGCCTTCTAAAACCGGGACCAAAGGAAAGCAATCCCTGCTCCAGGCACTGATATGGAATCAGATCAGTCTTGGGAACACACTCACGATTCTTGGATGTTTGGGTTGTGCAATTTGATTGAGATGATAAGTATAGTTAGAGCAGAGCCCTGACTGCATTATAAGCCTTCAATCTACATGGGATTTGAAGTGAAAAAATGCTGGCAATAACTCAAGTGCTTGTTCCTGATCTCTGACAATTTTCACTGAATTTACGTTTTGTCCTACAGACTTTCTAATAGGAGATTTCAGATACCAGATATAACAGTTCTCTCACTGACATGGAGGTTTATAGGATGGACTGCTCAGGATGTGTAACATTCCTGCTCCATGATACCAGTTCTCCTTTCATAGTTTTGTTTAGTACTTCAAAACCTAAGATAGTTTTGCTCAACCCTGTAGGTAACAGCTGTTTATGTTATTTTTTTCCTTCTTCAAGTTAGGTTTTTGTTCTTCACAGATATGGCTGTAACAGTAGAAGACTCTTCTTTTATCTGTTTAAAACTGCTTTGTACTATATTTAGCTTATCTCCTTTGTGTAAGCACATAAGTTATCTTTAACTGCTACTCAGGTAATGTAGCCTCTTAAAATACCTAAAATGACAACCTACTCTGGTGTAATAAATCATGTATTAGTCAGAATCAGGTTACCTTTGAAAAAGCACTTGTGGAATGCTGTGAAAGTCTCATATAGTTTGCAGGGTCTCTTCTCTTGTTATTAAATATTTTCAATTTTGCAATTAGAAACGAGTACTTGGAGAATGGTGAACATCTACGTACTTTAACTTAGTAGGATTGTTTTGAAAAGAGCGTGCAGACACTTCAGTATTTTTTATTTATGAGTGACAAATACCATTTCCCCCCCTGTACTAAGCAGACTTGTGTACCTCTGGATATTAGCCTGCATTCTGTGGCTGTTGGTCAGAGCAATATACTGAGGGGGAAGCTGGGAAGCAAATCTTTTGGAGGATTCTGTGTTGGCAGGTTCCATGAGCAGCTCACACAGACATGGAACCACTGCCTGAGTCCTCTCACTGCATGTTTTGTTACTGAGCACTGTCCTACATTACCTGCTTTCTAAAAGCTTTTAAAGCCTCTGAGGGAGCAAGTTCTGATGTGTGAGACAAAGGGACCTGAAGTATTTTGCATTTACGTTCTGCTGTTCTGTGAATACAAAGATAAGGAAGTTTCTCACTCTTTGGGGCTATAAGACTATCACTCATGTCTGCCCATCATTGCTCCTAATTATTATTTATCATTAATACAACAGCACAGATGGGAATGATTGCTCCCTCTCAGTGGGATTTAGTGTTCATCCTAAATTGCTACTTTTGAGCCATTTGAACCAGAGCAAGGCAAGTCCTTGATTGCCTTGTATGATAAAGGGTCATAGATTTTGGATTTGTGGATGAGAGGAGAGCAGTGGATGCCTTTTACCCAAGTCAGCAGGCCTGGCACTGTTCCCCCAGCACTGCTGTGTTCCTGTAGGATCTCACAGCCCGGCGGGGAGGGCGGGTGCATCCACTGCATCCAGCCCTGAGCACGGTGTTCTTTTGCTCTTTTGCAGGCAAGAACTGGGACCTGACGGCGGCTCTGAGCGACTATGAACAGCTCCGGCAGGGCCACACGGCCAACCTGCCCCAGGCCTTCAACGAGGGCAGGCCCTGCCGGCAGGAGCCCGAGAACACGGCCCCGCTGCCCCGGGAGCGACCCTGCCTGCACAGGCAGGATGACACAGCCCAAGGTGAGCAACCCTGCCTGCACAGGCAGGATGATATGATCCAAGGTGAGCTCTGCTCTGCCTGCACAGGCAGGATGATATGATCCAAGGTGAGCAGCCCTGCCTGCACAAGGCAGGATGACATCACCCAAGGTGAGCTCTGCCCTGCCTGCACAAGGCAGGATGACATCACCCAAGGTGAGCTCTGCTCTGCCTGCACAGGCAGGATGACATCACCCAAGGTGAACTCTGCCCTGCCTGCACAGGCAGGATGACACGGTTTAAGGTGAGCAACCCTGCCTGCACAAGGCAGGATGACATCACCCAAGGTGAGCTCTGCTCTGCCTGCACAGGGAGGATGACATCACCCAAGGTGAACTCTGCCCTGCCTGCACAGGCAGGATGACACAGTTTAAGGTGAGCAACCCTGCCTGCACAGGCAGGATGACACTGCCCAAGGTGAGCTCTGCTCTGCCTGCACAGGCAGGATGACATCACCCAAGGTGAGCTCTGCCCTGCCTGCACAGGCAGGATGACACAGCCCAAGGTGAGCTCTGCCCTGCCTGCACAGGCAGGATGACATCACCCAAGGTGAGCTCTGCCCTGCCTGCACAGGCAGGATGATGTGATCCAAGGTGAGCTCTGCTCTGCCTGCACAGGCAGGATGACATCACCCAAGGTGAGCTCTGCCCTGCCTACACAGGCAGGATGACACAGCCCAAGGTGAGCTCTGCTCTGGGCTCTCGGGGACTAGCACATTTAGGGCTCGTTGTGTTTGTCTGCAGAGAGTGGGGAGTCCCCCCGTCATGTGAACTGTGTCACTGTCACAGGGTTCAGGAGCTGCTCTGCAGCCTTTTGTCATGTTCTGGTGACTGTGAGCTTGGCCTCTGTTCTGCAAGTTATTATTTTAATGTGTGGTTAAAGTACAAAATATGGTACTTATAAAAGGAATTAATTAGAGGGTGTCACAGACCACTATTGTATGTAGTTTTCTATGCTTATTGAAACAGAAAAAGGTTTAACCCCCCTGTATTTCACTCTTTGCATTCTTACAGTATGTGAATAGGGTGTATGAAATCTGTGAATAAATTTCAGCTTTAAAATTTCACTCTTTTTCACTTGCACAGAAATAAGGACTGCCTCTTATCCCCTGCTGAATAGAAATTGAAACCTTAAGAAAAATGTAGCAGTTAATTTCCAGTACAGGATGATAAGCAGTAGAATTTGCTTTTTTGTTTGCAGACCTTTTATGGGTTTTATTTCATCTCTCTCACCCTCTCAGACTGTTGGATTGCATTTTTAATTTATCAAGGAACTGTAGTTTGCACTAAAATAAATCTACAGGTCTTGACAGCTTGTCATGTAGGGAGGTAATGGCACTGGCCTGGGGATGGCTTCTATGCAGTCATTAAAAGGAACAGAAGGTTTTCCCTTCTCCTGCTGGTTCTTCCCCCCTATTAAACAGGAAATAGCACCAGTACTTAGGAGTTTCAGTAAAGCTTTTTTCAAACTGCTAACCTCCCTGGGAAGAAAAGGAACTGCAGGGCTTTTTATGGCTCCTTAAAAGCACTGAGCACAAAAAGGGAGGAGGAGCAGCATGCTGTAGTGGATAAAACTGTGTCCCCTCATCCTCAGAGGGATATAGTTTACACTGAAATGCCCATTTGGTGTTTTAGGGGGTGCAGCAGGGGGTGTAGGGCATGGCTGGCTTTAGGATGCCTGCACTGACATAACTTGGCTGCCAACCCAGGAACTGAGGACTTGATGGGCAGAGAGCCACCTCTGCCATGGGGGACCAGAGGGAGGAGCAGAGAAGGGAAAGGTCTTGTTATGGACCAAGGAGGGGAGGATGCAGCCAGCAGGTGAGGGTTGGGCTGTGCTGGGAGGGGGTGATGGAGTGGTAGCAAGGGGATGTCAAAGGGAGGTGCTGCCCTGTAGTTCAGTTCCCCTCCTGAAGTGATTTAGCTGAGATTTACAGAGAGAAGAAAGAAATGCAAAGGTAATCAAACTTTCTACCCTCTCCCTCGATTTAGGATAATTTAGGGAGTGTAATTTAGCTCTCAAAACTAGAGAAACTTTGATCCACTTGAGAACCAAAAGTTCACAAACTCCAGGAAAGTTAATTTTAAATAAACGTTAGTCAGTTTGAGATGTTTTTAAAACACTTTTAGCTTAAGTTGTGTTTAAGTAAGGTTATTTGTTGCCTTATTCTGAAGGCGTAGAAGGACAGGAACATATTTTAATACAGCTTTGTGCATGCTTGAGAGGTAATGGCTAAAGGCTAGTTTATGGTAGTATTTATGAAGTTACCAAGGTGAAGTTTCACCAAATAATTTTTTACAAAAGCTTCCAGTACGATAAAGGTTTCCAAGAAAAATCAGTGAAAATATTATCTAACTTATCATCATATAAATCCCACCAGGAAGCTTTCTGCATATGCAAAAATGTAACACTGGCTTTGATGACCCTGGCTGTTCCTTTCACAGCATTTGTCCAGAGAGAAATTCAGTATAAGATATCAGCTCATAGTTGTTTTGATAAAATAAGGCATTCTTTTGTACCGGGCTTGTTATTTCCTAATTCTTTTTAACCTATGTATTATTTATATGGATCAGGATCTTAGAAAACACATATCCATAAGAACTGAGTTTGTCTTAAATTCAGCATTATGATGCTAAAAGTGCTTTTGGGTAGATTGTTCTGACTATGGCACATTCACTAAGAAGCAATTGTAGAACGCTGAAGTAAGATTAGGAGTTGTAAACATTAATTCATTATCATATGTCTGCCATTAAATTTTTCTTCCAATGAATCTTCGGAAACTTAAGATACATTAAAAAAAAATTTATAGGAATACTTGTCCTTCGTATCTTTTTACTTTTACAGCTTCTCCATTTTGCTAGAGGGAGAGACAAGTTCCTATGACTTGCTGTAGGGATCTGTAGTAGGAACTAAGCAATCTTGTACAGTAGGGAAATAACCAACAAAGGTAGCAAGCAACAAGTGGAATAAATTGCTCAGTGAAACGAATGTTCCTTCCCCAGACTTGCTGTTGCCTGGCTTTCCATGCAGTGTTCCAGGTGCAATATCTGTTTTCTCCACAGAAAAGCGCCTTTCCAGAGGTATTTCCCATGCCAGCTCAGCCATAGTGTCCCTGGCTCGATCCCATGTAGCAAACGACTGCAGCAATGAGCAGTTTCCCTTGGAGATGCCCATCTACACATTCCAACTGCCAGACCTCAGCGTGTACAGCGAGGACTTCAGGAGCTTCATCGAGCGCGACCTCATCGAGCAGGCGACCATGGTGGCCTTGGAGCAGGCAGGTGGGTGGCACTGGGGGGTCAGAGTGGGTGACACTGGGGGCTCAGAGTGGATGACACTGGGGGCTCAGAGTGGGTGACACTGGGGGCTCAGAGTGGGTGACACTGGGAGGTCAGAGTGGGTGACACTGGGGTATCAGCAGGTGGGTAAATACTCCAGGTGTCAGCAGTGGGTGACACTGGGGGGTTATGAGTGGGTGACACTGGGGTGTCACGAGTGGGTGACACTGGGGGGTCATGAGTGGGTGACACTGGGGGGTCATGAGTGGGTGACACTGGGGGGTCAGAGTGGGTGACACTGGGAGGTCAGCAGTGGGTGACACTGGGGGGCCAGAGTGGGTGACACTGGGGGGCCAGAGTGGGTGACATGGGGTTTCATGAGTGGGTGACACTGGGGGGTCAGCAGGTGGATGAAGACTAGAGATCTGCCCTCATGAGTGTACAAGAGTCCAACACAAGGGATAAGTAAAATTAAGTTTAGAAAAAATCTGTTCTTTTTTTTTAAAATTAGCTTAATACTTGGGAAGGTAGCAAAGCCATGTGAAGTTCTGACAAAAAAACCTCGGTCAAAATGCTCTTTTGTACAACTATTTATCTAGGCAAAGTGAAGTTTAAATTGTGAAATGCACAACCAAATACTGGTGTCAGCAGTGGGTGACACTGGGGTGTCATGAGTGAGTGGGTGAGCACTCCAGGTATCAGCAGGTGGGTAAATACTCCAGGTGTCAGCAGGTGGGTGAGCACTCCAGGTATCAGCAGTGGGTGACACTGGGGTGTCAGCAGGTGGGTGAATACTCCAGGTGTCAGCAGTGGGTGAACACTCCATCTCTCAGCTGGGCAGCCCCACTTTTTGGTTGACAGTTCCAGTCATGCTTCACTTCTGGAGCTTGCACATCCTGCATGGGGAATAAATGCCAGAGAGCAAAAGCAAATAATGTGCTGTTTGCAAAACAACACCTATCCCAATCCTCTGTTTCTTTTAACACATCATAGAGAAGAAAGCTGTCAAATTTAGTTAATAAAATAAAGAAATTGAGAGAGGAAGGAAAGGAGGACTGATGTGGAAGTCATGTGATAGAGAAGTACATGAATCTGGATGGTCAGAGAGGGTTGGTACTTCCAGTTCTCATGAGGAAATTTACATAGCAATGACTGTCAAAGGAAACATCTTCAAATTCTGTTGCAGCTTGAGAGAAGAGTTTTTAGATATGTATTTTATGTCTTAATTATTATTCTGTAATGAGAAATGACATAATTTTAAAGCAATACTTCGGTATTGCCATGGGAAAAAATGGGAAGAAATTTAATATTAGCATTAATTCAGATTTATTAGTACTTTAAAGTTTTAAGCCAGTTTTAAAGGATATGGGGAAAGGTATTTAAAATTAGTATCTGTGCATTATCAAACATCAGGTGTATTAATGAACCATGAAATGAACACATCTGTGTGGAATGCCCAACTGCTGATCTAAAGGAGTTCCAAAACCAGATTTCATGGCTGCTTGTGGGATATTGAACAGACAGTAGCTTTTTGTGTGTGTGTGTGGATTGCTATATAGATTGATCTGAGTGTTCATCCTCAAACCTTGGTGCCCAGTCACACCGTGTGAGCTCAGGCTGAGGAACTGCCCCTTGTCAGGGCACTGCATTGCAGTATTTAGACCTTTGCTAATCTAGTGTCACTTTGAGTACTTACAATGTATTGTCATGGGCTCTTTTTTTGGCTTTGGTAACTGAAAAGCAAGACATAGACAATAGCATCAAACAGTAAATACTTAAGAAAAAACAAAACAAAACAACAAACCCCAACAAAACTAGCAAACAACCAAAAAACCCCAGTGTTCAGAAGGCCTTTTTCTAGGAGAAACGAAAGTATAAAATAAGGTAGAAATGCCACCAGGCAACTATGAAGTATGAAGATTGAAGATTGTCAGTCACCTATCTAGAAAACATATCCAGTTTCTCTAAGAGCCAGCTAACCCAAGGAGGACAGGGAAAAACAGGATGGCTCTTCCTCTGACAGCTCTGCCAAACCCTCCCCATTCCACAGGGCTCTCAGAAGATCCCTTGCTATGGTACCATTTTTGAGCTACCACCTTCAGTGGAATTACAGCCTTTAGATGTAGTATAAACTAGAGGATCACAGTGGCTTTCTGACCTTAAAATCAGAGAATATGTGAATTTAGAGCTGACAAACTCTAATTCACAGAGAGCTGGCTGGCTTTGAACTTGAAATAGGGCTGCAGAAACTACCAAATTTGCTGCCTCGTAGCATTCCTCTCTCAAATCTCTCTGAAAATTAGAATAAATCATTTATTCTTTTCTTCACATTAATTAGGGCAGTAACTTGACTGACACTGGAAAAGTCCCTTCATCCCCAGAGCCTCCAGGGATGTCTTAATCATTTGAAGTACTTGTGGTTTTGATCACAGGTATCCTTGTAGCCTACATAGACTTAGTTTACTTGTATTTCATTCAAATAATGTGGAACTTCCTGGGAAACAGTTGTGCAGTTTAAGTAAGTTAAACAGATCAAACAATTTGCTTAAGAAAATCATGTAAGGTTTCATATAAACAGACCTTTCGTCTTTGTTTTAGATGTAAAGATATCAGTTTCCTTTTACTTCCTGCCTATTTTAGACATATTGTTGTACAAAATGAAGAGAGTGAATTAATAGGAAAGTCACTTAACAGTAGACTTTGTCTCCTACCAAGAGTTTGCCTATGGTTTGGTCAATGACATAAAAAGTGGAGAGAAGGTGCATTCCCTGCAAAGGGCCTAAAATCCCCTTCAAACCAACCCCAAGCCCATGAAGGACAGCAGGTTCTGGAGCTGAGGTTGGGGATGTTGTTAAAGGAAGAGAGGGCTGTGCTTGGTATAGCAGCAGGAATTTCAAGAGAAAAGAAAAAGAAAAGGAGCTGATTAGGCAAAAGGAGGAGGAAATTTGTTGGGAACTAACAGCTTACTACTCCCAGAGGATAAATTGGGAGAGCAGAATCATGACCAACAGAAGGTCTCACGTGTTGTCTGGATGTCTGTAAAAGCCTGTAAGGTTTTTATGTTCTTTCCTTTATGTGCTTAAGCTCTTGCTACCATTGCATCTGTAGGTGAAAGGATGTTCAGGTTACACCCTCTCTGTATAGAAACTCAGAGCAAAATTCCTGATTTGAGATTATAAAGGAAAGGCTCAAATAAAGGCAGTATGATTTACTCACTCCTCACTGCTCCAGTGTACCCTCTACTCCTTACGTGATTGCTTTCCAAATATTCCTCTTAGAGGATAGAATTCACCACATTCATAAAAACATTTTGAGGTTTTGTCCATCTTACAAACTCAGCAGTTGATAGTTGCCAGAACTGGAATGAGCTCAGCTTGTAAGCAATGGCAGACTGATCTCTGTGCTCTTGCAGTAATGGTGTGGGGTTTTGACAGAGAGTGTCTTGAGATACTGATAATATGAAATGATGTCTGTGTGAAAGGAGTTTTATAATTCTAAATATTATGCTGCAGCAAATTGATTTTCATTATAGACACGTGCTCCCCTGTGTGTTGTTAATGTGTGGGTTGATACAAAAGGGAGATATTATGAAAACTGCTGCTGTACTCATGAGTTTAAAAAACAGGCAGAAGAACAACTGGTCTAACACAGTGTTTTTAATTAAAAGAAAAAGCAATTCTATTGCAGTGCTGAAATAAAATTCAATACAAAAGTTAAAAGTACATTGTATGAACATCCCAGAATTGCTTTCCTACTCTTTTCTTTCTGTGCTTATGTTTGTTTCTAAGAAGCATTTTATACAGCTACAAGCAAAGCAAACAGCAATACGCTGTTAAGCCTGGGTTCCATGTCCTCAAAAACAATCCATCAAAATTATGGAAATGTTTGATTTCAAACCATTAAGAATCAAGCCTTGTTAAAGAAAAATGTGTGTCTTCTAAGGTTGTAGAAACATTTTGTTATCTCAGAGTTTTTAACAGATTTTCACACAGTACATGCAGGGACAGCAACCACTGTAATTACAGGAGAGCTGTATTAATTTCCTGATTTTTCCAGGCTTGTGTAATTCAGATCTGAGTGACAAATACTGTATCACAGAGCAGGATAAATGCTGGGATGTCATAGAAAACAGTCTGGCTCAGGTTATGAAAGGACTGATGAAGCAAAGCTGTAGCAGTGGATGTGCAGTTCCCTGCAGGCAGCTGAGCCCAGGGTCTGGTACCTGCAGCCACCCAGGCCTGGGCATCTCTTTCTGTGCCCTCTCACTCCAGGGATGTTGGTTTGCACTCCAGTCAGTAGCTGGGCACAGAGTCTGTGTTCCTTATGCACCAGGCTGAAAGAGAAGCTTTTATTTCATTGCTCACTTTTGCTCATTTCCACATGCACAGCTCGACGTTTCGTTTCAAGGACACAAGTAGACATGAGCAGCCTTGCAGATGCCACTGCAAAGCTGACTTCATCATCTAGGCTAAGGAGAGAGCTCCTTTCTCTGAAGCATTGAAAATGTATTGGTGAATGCTTTATTTTAAAATGTCAGCAGACACTGAATGAGCATTATAAGCCCACATAGAAAATCTGTTCTTGTCATTTTCTTCGCATCAACACTTGCAAGTGCACATTTATTGTATAGACCTAAAACTAAGAATAAACAAAGCTGGTCATGTCAGAAACACGGGAAGTGTAGAAGTGGCCCTGCTGACATGAGGATCTGAGGTTCCAGCACCTCTTGCTGTCTGACTGTTGTGAGTGGGCTGTGAACTCCTGTGCTGCCTCAGCCGGGCAGTCCCGTGCACACCCTGAGCTTCTCATGAGTTACTGCTGGTGGGCTCCAGAGGGGACTCGGGGAGTGTTTGGGGTGAACGATTGCTTTTGAAAAGTTTATGGGGTGTCCAGAATTAGACTTGCTTTGGAAACTGAAAGTGTTGTTTTGTGACTTGTTCCACTTGGGGGATTGATGAGAGGTGGATTTTTGGAAATCCCATGTATTGGAGAAATGACAGAAAGGCTGGTTTCTTGGGGAGACTGAGCTTGTGTAAGCAAGGTGTCTCTTAAGACTGTACCACTGTTTATTTTTTCAATTTAACTCTGCCACTATCGAACATGTTTCTGAATAAGCTTTTACCAATCTCAAGAAAATAATCAGCTAGCTTGGTTTTAGTATTTCCATATAAAGAAAAACTCGCAGCATGAATATTGTTTATTAAATGCTCCAGATTCCACGTGGGAAAGCTCTCCAAAATGCCCAACCACAAGTAAAAGAAGACCCATCCGAGGTCTCAGCTTTAGCCACACGTTCAGCCAGTGCAGGAAGGCAGACCTTGAGTCCCATGTGCACAGATGGAGGGGTTTCCTCAGTGCAGTGTCTGCTCTGTCAGAGCCTTTGAGGACTTGGCCTAAGGCTGGTTTGCTTGGCTGTGTGAAAGAGGGCTGTTAATGGCACAGTGAATTGTGTTGAAAGACAATCACACTCAATCTGAGGTAGAACTCTACAAGCTGTGACATGACATTTCACACCTTTTGCCATCTGTAACCTTCTTTGGTTTTCTCTTAATTCATATTCCGTTTTTTCTGTAAGAATTCTGATTTATTTTTGTTATGATAAATGCACAGTGGCCTTGGAGGCCGTGGTTTGCTCACAGCTCTGCAGTGAAACTTCAGCCAAACTCTGTCACATAAGCACTTGAGAGGAGTCTTGTCCTTTGTAGCATCTCCTTTTCCCCTGTCCAGAGCAAGTTATATTAAGCTGCTGTTTGCTACGTCCTTGAAACTTTTTGGTAGTTAATTCTACAAGAAAACTCCCAAATCTGTAAAGCCATTTCATTATTAGCAGCTTAAACCAGAAAAAAAGAAAATATGGGCTGGAGAACGTGAAGAGGGAGCAAAGGGTTTATGCAGAGTTTCTACAAAGGTTCTTTAAATCTTCTTTAACCTCATGCTTGGTTTGAATTTGGTTGACTGTACGTGTACCACCATCCATGTGCATGTTTGAGCAAGGAATCCATTACAAATGGACCTTGGTAAAGTGGAGGACAATGCTGTATTTCTTCTTTATGGGATAGTCATAACATAGAGTAATTTCTGTGGCACATTTTTAACTTGTTTATACTGTCAGTGAATTTCTGTACAGAGCACATCATGCTGAATGCTTTCTTACCTTGTACAGTGCCAGGGCATAAGGCTTCAAGGGGCTGATACTGAAAGCCAGGCCTGGCCCCTGTAAATACTTGAAATGTGTTCTCTGTTCTCTACTGCCTCTTTTTGAGCCATTCAGGTCTTAGAACCATCTAGAAGCTCCCTGGGCAATTTTTGCCCATAAATCCTGCTGCAAGAAACAACACACCTGTGGCTTGTAATGCAACATGGAGGCTTATGAAAATAACACTTAAACATGTCTAGTGTCTATTAATAATACACCAACATTAACTTTTTCTGAGGCTCAGCTTCTCTGCACACAATACAAAAGAAATACCTGGTATCAGAGTGATGAATTCTTGCTGGGCCCTGCAGATCAGGGAGCAGGGGGAGCCAGGAGATGCTTTGCATCATGCCAAGGTGGATACACGCTGTGTAGTGCAGGGTAGGATAATGTCAGAATACAGAAATAGCTGGCAGTCTTCAGCCATGAAGGATACTAGATTGTGTTAACATTTCCTTTGAGTTTGCACCTGAAGTCTTAAGTATCATGCAAATAAAGGGCAACATTGTGTGCTCCTGTCTTACCCCTCTGTATGTTGCCAGATCATGGACCTGGATAGGACTTTTAATCTTGATCTAAAATTAGACCTTGGTTTTGGCTGAGATAGAGTTAATTTTCTTCCTAGTAGCTGGTACAGCTCTGTGTTTTGCATTCAGCATGAGAATAATGTTGGGAACATGCTGATGTTTCAGTTGTTGCTGAGCAGGGCTTACACTGAGTCAAGGACTTTTCAGCTTCTCCTGCTCTGCCAGGGAGGAGGCTGGGGGGGTACAAGGAGCTGGGAGGGGACACAGCAGGGAGAGCTGAGCCCAGATGGCCTAAGGAATATTCCAGAGCACATGGCATCATGTTGAGCATATAAACCATGGGGAAATCTGGCTGGGAGCTGCTCCTCAGGAGCTGGCTGAGCATCGGTTGCTTGGTGGTGACCAGTTGTTTTTCATTTGCATCATGTGGGTTTTTGGGGGGTTATTTCTCTCTCCTATTTTTATTTTCTTTTTCTTTATTTATTATTATTATTGTTGTTGTTGTTATTTAAAATTTATTTCAGTTGTTTAACTGTTCTTACCTTAACCCATGAGTTTTGTCACTTTTACCCTTCCCTTCTGTCTCACTGGAGCAGGGAGTGAGGGCTGGGGGTGCTTAGTTGTCAGCTGGGGGCTAAACCATGACACCTGGCTAGGACTTTTAATCTTGATCTAACACTGAGATAAATTTTAATGTACTAGAACATGATTACATTAAATCTCAAGAGTATTTTTGCTGTAAAATAACATCAGTTTCTTTAAATTGTGTTTTTTAAGATTCAATTAATTTTATGAGAAAGTAAGAAGCAAGATGAAGTAGGAGACCAGCAGAGGGAGGAAGAGTGAGAAATGGGTCTACTTTGTCCATAAGTGTTGTATTATCAAAGCAGATAGAAAAAAGCCTGAGGAAGAACTGTTTCCAGTTTTCATTTAAGCTCCACTTTCCTGTTGTGTCCCTACAGGGATCCACTATAAGCACTAGATTTGAAAAATGAAAATGCACCACTTTTTTGTTATAATCCAAAAATAAACCCCTTTCTGCTAATTTTTTAGCAAGCCATAAGCTTTATGATGTTAACCAAGCCCACAAACATTTTTTGCATAATCTACTGGATGGAAGATCACTTTTATAGAAACCTTCCGTTACTCAAAATGTTCATAAACAGCAGACTTTGACATTTATTACCAATAGCTGCTGGTTAATCTGCAAAGCAATGCCACTCATTATGGCCTTAAATCCTACCTAAGGTCTGTCTGGTTTTAGGTCTTCTAACTATGCTTTTTGCAGCACCTTGCTATAACTTATTACTGAACATGATTCCACCAAAACATTCTGCAAAAAGCAGGTTGCAAGTTGTTATTTCAGACACAGGAGTTGCTAAAAATGATAACTCCTTATTTCCAAAGGCTGTCGAATAGTGCTTTAAATTAAGCTTCTTTGATGCATATTTAACTTAGAACTAAGTAAGCCTAGTCTGAGGTGTTGTTCATTTACAAACCAGCTGCTAAAATCACGAGGATTACCAAATGTGCTTAGCTGTTGATCTGCTCTGCATCTTTACAGTGTACTGTATGTCACCCCATACTGACTAATTGCAATTTAATTACATAGTTCTTAGTATCCAGAACAAGTAACTGGAGTGCACATTAAACAGCTATATTATTTTTCCCATAACATGTGTTACCTGTTGTTACAAATAAACTTCAGTATAATTTTGTAATGAAAACTTATTAATGGAGAGAAGTTTATTTGTTGTTTGAACTTCCTTCTGTTTGGGGGATTTAACCTTAACTTCAAGACTGTAAAAATATATAGACACTATTTCCTCTCAGCTTGCAAGTCAAGAAATTGG